TTAAAAGCCTCTTCTGATTAATCAATCAGCCTGGGGTATTCATAAGTAGCTATCCAGATTTACCAATAAGTGAGATCAAGTTTGTTCAAATGAATTTTAATTTCCCAATTAATATCTATTGTGCAGAAAGATTGTAAAGGTTTTTTTCTGCGGATTACTCAAAACTAAAATAAAATTTGGCCTGAATCTATCGAGTATTTTTAAGTAAATGAAAACTTTGATTACTATATCCAGGTATAGAGTGATATTATATACAATCAACTTTAAATTAAAGGTCACAGATTTGTTTGCAAACAGCACTGAAAAGTAGTTGCTTGGTAGTTGAGTTGTATAGGACCATTTGATCTCGAAATTATAATCCTGTGAATATCTCACAATCTGTAGTCTAGACATTTTACTTATAATCCTGTAAACGTCACACAATCTGTAGTCTAGACATTTTACTTATAATCCTGTGAATATGTCACACAATCTGTAGTCTAGACATTATACTTATAATCCTGTGAATGTCTCACAATCTGTTGTCTAGACATTAATTTTAAACTTATAATCCTGTGAGTGTCTCACAATCTGTAGTCTAGACGTTTTACTTATAATCCTGTGAATGTTACACAATCTGTAGTTGATTTGTAATCATAAGTTTCCTTTGTCTCTCATTTCCATGTCATTGTCATGGTAACTAGATATACTAGTTGTTTGGTTACAGGTGTCACACACTGCTGTACTGTAGTAGTTTGACTTTGTTGATATACCCAAACACTGACCACAGGACATCCTCCCTGTCTATACCTACAGCCTGTGTACAGTCTGTGTCTGTATGTATGACCCTGAGGAACTCACCAACTCCACTGATGAGTAGGATCCTGTAGGTGCCCCGGTCCCCTATGATCAGGTTCCCCACACTGTCATACACCACACCACGGGGGTAAAATGGTTTACCTTCTGTTTGTGGTGTTGGTCTATATGTACTGGGAATGTCACCTCTATATACAAACAGTTCCTTGAAATCAGTGTCCATCACAACAACATGTATGTTTTCATCACCACCATCACTTTCACGACTGAAATCAGCGACTGCCACATTGTGAGTGACAGGACACTCTGAGATCCTGCCTGGTGTACACACTAATGGTTTCCCAGTCCCATTAGCCATTGTAGTACACACCATTTTACCATTTGAGGTAAATTTGGAGATGTGTTTGGCCATCCCTACAATGACATGGTTACTGGCTGTAACACATATACACCAGGGAAACTCCTTGGTACTGAATCTGTGTGTCAGTCGTCCTGATACCAGCTCCATGATGTTGTTATCATCACAGACCCACAGTGTGTGTGTGGTGGGTGACAGACTAATGTCACCGATCATGGCATTGTGATTGACCTCCTGTATTACTTTACCCTTCCTGTCCAGGAGAGTCAATGTGTCCGTGTACTTGGTCCACACCTGACCATCAGTGGTGGGACATATAGAACCAATGTCACATGGAGACCACCACTCCTCCACTACCTTGGTCTGTGGCAGTAGTTTGTATGTTGTCACTGCCTTCTTCCCTTTTGCTCCTGACTGTTGTTGTTGTGAAGACGGTTTTCCCATATCATCAGATGTTGAGACTGACCGATCCTGGTCAGTTAAAATTTGACCTTGACCTGAGGTAATAACTTTTCCCAATGCTTTTTTTAAGTGATCTTGAGGATTTTCACTCGGAGTGAAGTTGGCAGTACCCAGGACAGGTTTTACAGGGAGACTATGTGTAGGAGACTGGATCTCACAATATGTATCATAAATCTGTATGTGTGAACCACGCTGGAGAGCTGCTTTACATTCTTGAATTTGTTGTTTGAGTTGCTTCTGGTACTTCTCCAGGTCCTGTTTGTATGTCTTTATCAGCTTGGTATTATCCTCTTCCATTTTGTGGTAAAGAGAGAGTGTCTGTGCTGTAAGCATGTCCAGCTCTTGTTTTAATTTATCTGTTTGCATTTTTAACTTTTGTGACAACTTCTCAAAAGTACTGGTGTTGTCTTTAAGGAGCATATCAGTAGCGGTGATATTTTTCCCAATTTGCACAAGGTCATTTTTTTCTGTTCTGTCTATAAAGTTTATAATATCTGGTTCTTTCTGGGGAGTGATTTCACTTAGCTCACAAACTGTATGAGTTTTGTGAATAGAAGAAAGGCATTTTGGACAAACCGGTTCCTGACACTTTTCACAATAAAAATCCAATTGTCTCCCCATGTGGTGAATACATGTCATTTGACCTTTAATTCGGAGAGGAATTTGGCTTATAGGGGTTGCCATTTTGATGAAAAACTAAAATATTTGTTGAAATCTTGAAGATGTTTGTTGTTCTTGTATAAATATATTATCATCAGTAAACACTCACAAATAAGAGTTTGTCATGTAAAGAAATGAAAACTTGACTGATAACTGTCCCATCCAGTAGTATATGTTTCATTTAATATTTAGTAATGTAGAAACACTATAGAATTATTACCTCAGGATCACTGATGTCACAGGGGTATTCCAAGTTTTCCATTCCACACTTCAGAATGTTCACTTACATTGTCCACAGTTATCCAACCCTAGAATTCACACTCACATGATGAACTTCCGTCTTGCTTTGTTGATAAATCTGTCACTTTCCTGCTGACATTGTAAAAGTTTGATCAAAACTTGAAGTCATATGTTCGGCTGAATTTGACAATGCTGCTGACTAGTTAGCGATATTATCAACGAATTTCTGCTCTGGATACGCCCATCACTGCAGCAATGTGTAGATCTACCTGTTTAGACCTGCAGTTGTACATAGTAAATAACTTCCCTGTTGTGCGAGGTTACCGACAGACATACAGTGATTATAAAGAAATAGCTATTGTAAAGTAGGTCAGTGGAGCTTGGGTTTAAAAACCTTAGCATTTACATACCTGACATATTAAGTAATAAGGCATACCTGTACTGTGGGTAGATATACCTGTGTATTGTGTATCAGACTATCTGTTCTATGGGTAGACACACCTGTGTTTTGGGTAATAAGACATATCTGTAGTGTGGGTAGATATATACCTGTGTTTTAGGTAATAAGACATACCTGTACCTGTGTATTGAAACTGTGTACTGTGGGAAGATATACCTATGTTTTGGGTAATAAGACATACCTGTACTGTAGGTAGATATACCTGTGTATACGGTAATCGGACATACCTGTACTGTGGGTAGATATACCTGTGTTTTGGGTAATAAGACATACCTGTACTGTGGGTAGATATACCTGTGTATTGGATAATAAGACATAACTGTATTGTGGGTAGATATACCTGTGTTTTGGGTAATAAGACATACCTGTACCTGTGTTTTGGGTAATAAAACATACCTGTACCTGTGTTTTGCGTAATAAGACATACCTGTACCTGTACTGTGGGAAGACCCATGCTGATATGAATTGAGAAAACTGTTAAAATAATTTAGACCCCTTTATCAATGTCACAGGTCAATTTTGGTTAAACTTATCAACAATTTCTGAAACTTCTAAACATTAAAGAGGCTTGGTCTGTAAGTGTGCTGGAATGGAGGGTGTTTGATCAAATGTGACTAACACCGACACACTTGAATCACGCTAGGCTGTCTCTCTGTCCATCCGTCAGTCCGTCTGCAGTAACTTGTCTTGAAAACTCCATCTTAACTAACAGGCAGATTTTATTGAAACTTAACTTGAATGATCAGTATATAGAATTTTATGTAGTTGTGCACCGGTATTTTGATTTCAGATTACTTCACTTTTTAACTGAGTTGTACGGTCCTTTATGCAAAATAACCTGTCCCGAAAACTCCATCATAACTCAATCAAGTATTCACACTTTTGTTGATCAAACCCCGGCCGCCTGCGTAGAAGTCTGGAGTGTTAACCAACAGACCAATCCGCCCATATGTGTAATTTTGTCATATTGCTTTCATCAACTTCTTCTCTGAAACTAAGAGATGGATATCACCCATATTTGGTTGGAAGCATTCGTAAGTTTTGGGCAATTAAATATCCAGGTGAGTGGTATAGGCCCTCTGGACCTTTTGTCCTCTTATACAGTTACCTCCCCTTAATTTCATTTTGGATAAAACTAGCACACCTGGACAAGGACACCTGTTGACTTGGTATATATAGCTCAGTAGGTGAGAGCGAGTATAACAATCCGAACCTCCATGGTTTGGATCCTGGTCTAGCTCTGCTGTATCTTAATTTACACTCTTAACACTGTTGTTGATTATCTTTTGTTTATTTCATTTGATTACTCTTACATGGAGGTCCCACAATGTATTGTTTTCTTTTCATAAACTACTTATCGAAAGCTATAGTCATGCCAGAAAAGACAGCTTCCAATGGGTAGTTACCCTTTCTGGCAGCGATATGTTGATCCTTTACACTTTTTACCAGTGTGATCATGTTAAATTCTGAGTTATTATTGAACTAAGAACAGCACCCTTTAACTATGTGCTCCTTCTATATGGATATCAATGTATGATGTAACATCATAATGAATACTTCATTTTTATAGATAGCTAGCTTTTTATTCATTCAGAATTTAATAAAATTGATATGTTTGAAGTAAAAAATCCAGTAAAATATGATGTTTATATAGGACTGTAAACCTACTTGTGTGCATTTCACCTATCAATTAGCAAACCTATCACATCATACACATTTCTATTCAATCTGAATTGTTAGACAACGTAATTGGTCAATGATATTTGGTAAGAAGAAGGTCCACAGCATGTGTGTTGTTTATCAGTTTAATTTAATTAAAAGATTGAGACCTGTTTTCTTTTTCTTTTTTTAATTAAAATTACCTTTTTATATAACTCCAGTAAGATAAACTTGATACCCCTATATCTTATATACCTCCTTAATTCAACTAGATTTTCTCATTTTTAGAACGATCATATCTGCGGATAAATATATTAATTTGTATATGTGTAAAAAGAGATTTTTAATATTTATTTTTTGTTTCAGAATTTTGAAATTTGGAAAGAAAACAAGACAGAAGTAATAAAAGAAAAAGTGAAAGAGAAAAAAATGACTGAATACGAAGAAAAGCGAGAAAAAGAATTGGAAAAGAGAGATCGTGAAAAATTGAGTACGTCAGCTTTTAAAGGATGGTGAGTACTTTTAGGTGTTATTCCATCTCCTTTTAGTTCAAAACAGGCATATGAATGGACAGATATTAGAAAAAACAGTTTATTCTAAAAAACAAATTTAATAGTGATGAGTTTTACTTAAGGTAATAAGATTGCATCACCATTTCTCAGTAGAATTTCTTCAATTTTGTAGTTTTATTGCTTTGAAGTAAAAAAAAAATCTGCCACAAAAAAAATATAGGTTGTCAGAATTTTATATTTTAAAAGGAAATTTATGTAAAAAGGAGTGAATTTTGAAAAAAATATGAAAGATAATGTCAACAAAAATTATACTGCCATAGAATAGTATTGCATTAATGTATATCAATTTAATAAATGCTGAAATTGTGAATAATAAATTATCTATAAACAATTAAAAATTGACATGTTATAATAAAACCATATACACATAGTTATTGCATGTAAGAGTTATCTTTCTTGAAAAACTTCACAGTAGTGAAATAGGTAGCCGGTTTCCTGAAGTACAGAAAAATGGACACATGTGACTCATTGAAAAAAAATAACTGAATTGATGCCTGGATTGCTTTGAATTATTTTTGATATTGAGAGAACACACTGTTCTGTGAATGATAAACATTCAATATTCATCACAACTCTAGACTCATTAAAATATGCGGAAATTGTGATACTGTCTCCCTACATTGGATTTTCAACTAGGGATGTACTTCCTATTTCCGTATATCAATACACTCATTCGACCTTAAGTAACTGTGTTTTTGTGATTTAAGTCAACACATGATGAATGTGTGTTATGTTGGCTATGAACTTCTCTTGATCTTTTCAAAACTGTTCTTTTAAATGATTTGCATGAATTCAGATTTTGTGTTTTGCACAAATGTCATTTCACTTGAGTTAACTATAAAATCATTCTATGTAGTTTTAAGACAATTTTAACAAGCCCAATTAAAAAAAAAAACTTGATTTATCAAAAAGAAAAATATGTATATTTTTAGCTAAGTTACCTCCCTTCTTTATACATCTTCCGATCAAAAAAATGTGTAATGTTACGATTGGAAATTGTTAATTAAATGTACTGTATCTCATACAACTCTAATATTTGCAAAAATTGGAAAAAAATATGATAATAATTTTGAAATTGTTAAAACTGAGAATGCAACTTTTATTCACATACAATTTAAATGGCAATTAAAGAAAAACAATATAGCAACTTTCCTTACATCATTAAAGTAATTTTTGGTTTCCAGTTTTAATAAAAATCCATTGTTTCTCATGAATGTCTTCGAATAACGTTTGTTTATGTTAAAAGGATACTTTTAATGTCGTTGTCTTTATTTTGCAGGAAATCTAAGAAAGATAATCTTATAAAAACTGAAGTAAAAACTAAAAAAATCATGACAAAGGAGCAAATAAAAAAGCAAGAAAAGCATAAACGGGAACAGGAAGAGGACGCCTTACGACGCTATCATGATTGGTTAGACAGAAAGGTAGGTCACTCGGACAGAGGTCACTCAGACAGAAATATAGGTCACTCGGACAGAGGTCACTCAGACAGAAACATAGGTCACTCGGACAGAGGTTACTCAGACAGAAATATAGGTCACTCGGACAGAGGTCGCTCAGACAGAAATATAGGTCACTCGGACAGAGGTCAATCAGACAGAAATATAGGTCACTCGAAAAAGGTCACTCAGACAGAAAGGTAGGTCACTCGGACAGAGGTCACTCAGAAAGATAGGTCACTCGGACAGAGGTCACTCAGACAGAAAGGTAGGTCAGTCGGACAGAGGTCACTCAGACAAAAAGGTAGGTCACTCGGACAGAGGTCACTCAGTCAGAAAGATAGGTCACTCGGACAGAGGTCACTCAGACAGAAAGATAGGTCACTCGGACAGAGGTCACTCAGACAGAAAGATAGGTCACTCGGACAGAGGTCACTCAGACAGAAAGGTAGGTCACTCGGACAGAGGTCACTCAGACAGAAAGGTAGGTCACTCGGACAGAGGTCACTCAGACAGAATGTTAGGTCACTCAGACAGAGGTAACACAGACAGAAAGGTAGGTCACTAGGACAGAGGTCACTCAGACAGAAAGGTAGGTCACTCGGACAGAGGTCACTCAGACAGAAAGGTAAGTCACTCAGACAGAAAGGTAGGTCACTCAGACAGAGGTCAATCAGACAGAAAGGTAGGTCACTCAGACAGAGGTCAATCAGACAGAAAGGTAGGTCACTCAGACAGAAAGGAAGGTCACTCGGACAGAGGTCACTCAGACAGAAAGATAGGGCACTCGATCAGAGGTCACTCAGACAGAAAGGTAGGTCACTCGGACAGAAAGGTGTGTCACTCAGACAGAAAGGTCTGTCACTAAGACAGAAAGGTAGGTCACTCGGACAGAGGTAACACAGACAGGAAGGTAGGTCACTCGGACAGAGGTCACTCAGAAAGATAGGTCACTCGGACAGAGGTCACTCAGACAAAAAGGTAGGTCACTCAGACAGAGGTCACTCAGACAGAGGTCACTCAGACAGAAGTAACTCAGACAGAAAGGTAAGTCACTCAGACAGAGGTCACTCAGACAGAAAGGTAAGACACTCAGACAGAGGTCACTCAGACAGAGGTAACTCAGACAGAAAGGTAAGTCACTCAGACAGAGGTCACTCAGACAGAGGTCACTCAGACAGAAGTAACTCAGACAGAAAGGTAAGTCACTCAGACAGAGGTAACTCAGACAGAAAGGTGTGTCACTCAGACAGAGAGGTGTGTCACTCAGACAGAAAGGTAGGTCACTCAGACAGAAAGGTAGGTCATCAGACAGAGGTAACTCAGACGGAAAGATAGGTCACTCAGACACAAAGGTAGGTTACTCAGACACAAAGGTAGGTCACTCAGACAGAGCTTATACTCAGACAGAAAGGTAAGTCACTCAGGTAGAAAGGGTTGGCTAACTATTCAAACCAGTGGTTGAACTGAATATTTGTGTGTCACTTAGACAGAAAGAGGGATTAACTGTTTATTAGCCAATGCTTGAACTGAAAGTGTGTGTGTCACTTAAACAGATGTGGGGTTGGAATGCTCACAATGAATCAAACTCCTATATCTTTTGATTCTGGATCTGGTCAGTAATCAGCAACGTCCTATTGGATATCCAATGATTGTCAGTATTCTCGCTCTGTATATAAATTCAATCTTCTGTTATTTTAACTCATAACCTGTGTAATTCCTTATGAGTTTTATGTCCAGTTTTACTTGTTAAGATGGGCTCTATCAAGGAAACAACAATTACGTAATGTCATTTTCTTCATTGTTGTATTTTCACAGGATTCCCAAAAGAAAGAGGATAAAAGACAAAGACGATACGGTTCTACAGAGGAGCTGGATGACAGACCAGCGTGGAGTCCCGCCAACAGAACCATCCCGTTCGGTCGGTGACCAAAGCCTACACATATTTTGTATACATGATAGAGTCACAGAGAGACGATGTTCACCTATCATTTTAGCCACAACTGACCTACTGAGACTATGGAAACATCCGTCCATATGTAGAAACATAATGTTCTTAGAAGTTGAAAGTGTTGTCCTCATATTGATTTTTAGACATCTAGATATCGCAAAAATGTCCGTCCGGAATCTACCTTCGTCATGGAAACAGGTGACTGTAATGATTTGGAATGTTATGACTTCAATTATTTCAATTCTAACACATTTGTTCAGGAAATTTAAGAGATATGTTCAACAGATAAAAGTGGAAGTGTTGAATATTACAATTTCATGGACTTTTCTGTGACAATACTTGCTCAAAGTGTTACCATTCTACACCCGTTTTGTTTCAGGTCTAACTATGTTCTGGTCAAATATTTTCTTACAAATTGAACAGATATCACTGGTACTTTTTCAGAATGATATTGAAACCAAAAATGATTTTTTGCTTTAACCATGAGAAATGCAAGGAATCTGCATAAGAAAATGAAGTAACATTAAAACCCTGTTTCATGAGAAAGAAATTTGTGTGAATGATTTCTCTAGACTGCCTGTAAGTCATCGAATCAGTTTTCAGTTGAGGAGTCTATTTAATTTTATTTGTATTCAAAACAATAATCATGTTTATTATTTTGCAAGTGCTCATAATGTAAATAATCATTTTTTAGTATGCTAGATGTAGATGTGTAATAATGATTTGATGGTTGACCGGGATTTATAGAAAAATGTATCTTTTCTATTGTAACATGTGATTTTTGTAGAAACAGTTATTTAAAATCTGTCTTGCATTGAACTGAATAAGATCTTAAATGATTTGCCATTGGCGAACTTGTGAATCTCCATAATAATCCAGTATTGAACATAAGACGAACTCCAGTATGTGTTCAATATGTGAAATGTACATGATTGGAAAAAATGTGTAACCAAATTGTTGGAAACCGGTTTTTCCAGCATGAATGTAGCTTTGATAAATCATTTCTGAAAAGATAACCATACCTTGTGGGACTTTAATGATATGATGATAAAGATGATATAAACAAAATATAATCAACAACAGTGTTCTGAGTGTCAAACATTCAGTGGGACTTCACCAAGATTCGAACCCTGGACTTCATATTTACCCGGTCAATGGAAGTGATCTGACCCAGCTGTGCTACAGTTATATCCAAACGGAAGTTAACGGGAGGTTAATGTAAATAGGAAAAAACACTACGAAGGGACAGGGATCCTTAAAACAATGTTAACACTGTTTGTGTCAACTCCCTAGAACTCACACTTGTATATGGTACATTCCATAGTTTATTTCCTGTAATTGAAACAAGAAGCAAAATTTAATTAAAAAAAACTATTTTTCTAATAAAAAAAAGTGTAAGGGAAGTCATACAGATCACACATTCAACATTCTGTAAACAGAATTTTATCTATTTATATGGTAGAATAACGCAATCATGTTACACCAGATTCAGTAGAAGTCTAATTATCAATAGTCATGTAGCTTTCAAATGATCAGTTTTAGTCATCTGTGTCTAAAAAGTAATTGTGGCTCAAATTATTAATTGTAAAGATCAATTAAAGTATACAAGTTGTTTTGTTTTAATTATAAAATCAAGAGTTAGGTTTTTTAAAATAAACGGGAAAGTCATGGAAAATTATAAATTGTTATGTTTTTTATCTGAATACCATGTTTATCTTGTTTAAAGTATTGCTTTACAGTATTTTGTATTCGAATGGCATTTTTATCTTTAAGCTATTTTGCTCCTAACCTTTTATTTCTATGTATATCGTCAATAGTGCCACTAAATATAAAGCTAGACATTCCATGCCTCTTTTAATACTCGCTTCTAACACTATAGCACACTCCTTTTGCAGTATTTTATATTACCTGTTCGTAAGGAGGATACATTTTTAAGGACACAGATACAAATTATATTCTAAAATGTCATTTTTTTTATTTTGAAGTTTTGCTTTTAACAGCCATTTGGTAGTCCAGTAGACTTCGATACATTTTTATACAGCAAGAGAATTATATCATTAATAGATATATATATATTTCATTATTTTCATACGAAAGTATATGTTAAGATAATTTGTGTATGTAATGTCGTGTAAAAGTGAAGTAGTTATGTACAGTTTCCGTTGTGAGTTTTAGGAATAATTTACACAGAAGATATTTATATGTCGGCTTTATTACCTGAAGGCCTATTTTACTCTGTTTATCAATGATTCCATCCTAAATTCACTAGCATATAAACTTTTCATATTCATTACATTATTATGTCATAAAACATATCAAAGTGAACATTTGATAAAAAGTGTTTGAAATTAAAAAATGTTTTTTTTATATTTGCTTAGATGAGTATTGCGTCATGTACAGGTTATGTATGTGTGTAGCATTAGGGATTTCGTGCAACTAATTGCATTCTGTGATATTTTATACTGACAACAACATTAGTTTAATCTCTGATATTTTAGTCAATAATATCTCCACTGGTTAGTAAACACAAAATTTACATTGAAGATGGGTTCTGGCCGACTGACATCAATATTCAATTGATTGACATAAGACATTTGTTATTTGTATTCATTTGTGAGCTCTCCATTAAAGCCCCAAATGAAATCAAATTCAAGGATACTGTGTGCTTTCCTCAAATATCGAAATATCAAGATACCGCATTATTTATACTTAGCTTACATTTACAACAGGAAACTACATCTATGATCTTACACACCATCAAGTTTGAATCATGCTTGAAATACTGACAGTCGGCAGAAACCCATCTTTAAATATGGAACGATATAAACGCCTTTTTAATATTTCTATCATAGCAAAAACAGAACTATTATCAAAGCAAAAATAGGAACTATTATTCCCTCCATTTTAAGCCGTTCTGTTTGTGTACAAGTTTAGTTGAAGCTACTAGATACTGATAGGAAGAACTGTTCTGTCTAATTAATGTGTCATTTTGTTGTTTTAACCCAATGTTGAAAGTAAAACATCTAAATGTCATTAATTGTCTTGATTTGTTTATTTTCCAATAGAAATATGAAAAAAGGGTTACAAATTATGCACGGTTTCCTTTCATTATTGATTAACATAAGTAAGTTTACACGCATGATGATATCAACAAACAAACAGAGGTTAAGTCTTAAGACACTTTCCATAACTTATGTCAAGGTGATTGGTCACGTTCTACCTTGTAGATTACACTTGCACAATACTCCTTCAATTGTTTTCTCTGTCTTGCTGTAAATTATCAACATTTTGCGTAAATTACAGCAAGTACCTGATGTAATATTTTCATATATAATATAAGACATTTACGTCGAATGATTGATTTCCTCAGAGTAAACAGTATAATGACGTAATGTATGAAACACGTGCACAATTGGGTTTTATTTTGTAGACAAATTTGTACTCTTGTGTGTTAGTAGTAAACAATATGTTGGATCTTTTTGGTTTCTTAGTAGATCTCCACAGTGCCCTAGATAGCAATGTAGCATGGACTGATATAAAATATAAGTGAGTTCATATTCAATGTTTCAGTAGACAACATTATTTTACATGCTTATTCTGTCATTCGGTGGCAAAAATAAATTGTCTAAAATCTAATATCTAATCTGAATGATAGAACTGGCACAAATGAAGCATAACATTTAATTGGTAAATAATCGTCAGAAACGTGGGGACAAAACAGAATATAATATCATTTAACTGGGATTTTAAAAAGCTGCGATTCCAGCTGTAAACTGTATGAGTAAGCTTCAAAAGCTAATGGAAGTTTGGAAAAGATTGGGATTATATTCTGTTTTGTTGAAGTTAAGCGTCAACTCCTTTAAGCGAATTATTTCTGTTTGGAGTTAATGGCCTGGTTGTATTGGATGGAAATTACGATAAGCTATAAATAATGTCAAGTTGAACGACGCATATTAAATTATCTCTGAACGGAAATGATAAATATGCATTAAAAAATAAAATCGTACATTTATTTACAGGAATATCTGTTTGAAAATTGAAAGCAAAAAACGTTAACGTTATTAAAGTTTCTATTAGATCTAGTCGGTGTTTCCTATGACATCAGACTTGAGACTGTCTGGTGTCAAGACAAGAGGAAACTCAGACTAAACTAGGTCTCCTTCAATTCGAATGTTAAGTTTTGATAATTTTCAAAGAAACTCCAGTGAACTAAAGCTGTACCTATGTTTTTATATAAAATTTATAAATATATTTGTTTTCAAAGATCATGGCAGTACATTTTTTTGGCAATTTTTACGATTTCCAAACCGAGTTCAAGAAAGAGGCCTTATAGAAACTAGAAAAATGTTGGATAATTGGAAATATTATATTGGAAGTTTGTAAATACAAATAGATTTATGCAGTCATTAATTAAATAAGTATTCCTTAAAACGAAGGCTGGCCTCAATATTGATTAAAAAAAAGACTGAAAGACAAACTTTCATTTACAATACTATCCCTTTAATCAGATATATATCGTCTTCAGGTGAATTTTCATTTTCAATTACCAGTACATTTTGTATGGGAAGAGGTTGATATCATTTTTCAAAATGTTATTGTATTCACTTACTTCAAATAATTATTTCCTCATAATTATTTAATTAAAATTCATATCATCTTTCTTTCAAGTTCTTAATTTAGGATAGCTATGTCATTTGATAGACTATGAACAAAATGCCGAAACGATATATCCGGTAATGAACCGAAATAGATATGCTCGCTTCCTTTACAAATGTGTCTGTCGAAGGACAGTTTATTGCGCTATTGTCTGTATTGATACTTCTATTGAAATCCCGAATTATGAATATAAAAAGGTGATAAACAGAACAAGTCTGATCAAATAGCACATATGAAAGTAAAACAGCCATCAAAGAAAAAACGTAATAAAAGAAAACCGAATCGGAATCAAAGCGTTGTCGTCATTCAAATTCCGGAAACGGCATCTCATTAAACATTGTTGCAAACATAGATAACGGCAAAGGGTACTGAATGGTAATCTGTACTTTTACATTTCCGTTTTTAATTTCTTTAAGCCTACACAAGTGAATAAAGGCCGTTCTACCTTGCACCGTTTGCTCTTATTGCTACTGAACGATCGCTTTCCCCCATTCAATCTATCATATGTTTGAAGTTAGTCAGTGCATTTGTAATCTGATCTCATATCGTCAATTTCTTTTATATCTTGTAAAGATTTTAATCTTTGGAAGGAAATGAATATGCCAATTAAGAATGGAAGAGCTTTAAAGAACACCACCCCGTGAATGAATATTATTCACTACTCCAACTGTAGCGTTTACTATAAGCTGACATCGTTTAGCGAAATCAAATTTTAGCTATCGGGCATAGGATAGTCTCTCAGACGAATGTAACCTAAAATAGCGCATACCTTACATATATATCAGAAAGAATTAATAACTTTTATTTTACACATAGCTCGTACCCTGTGGCAATATACTATTGCAGTTTTATATGATTGTAATCATCCGTGGTCTAAATAAGATCGCAATGTTTATAAAAGATAACGCCCACGAGACAAGTGATATACTGTTTTAAGTGCCATGCAACATTTAAAATGTACACTATAGCTATTGGTTATTAGTTGAAATTTATCAATTCAATGCAGTGTATGGCGATTTTTTTGTAAATTTGCCGGAAAAAAAAGAATAGATAAATAAAAAGTGAATAAATGAAAACTGCTACGATGTTGTGATTGGTTTCATAGCATAAAAGGCAATAATGAGAAAGTAGCCATTACCAGCTGTCACCGATAAAGTGGATCCAAGCTTGATACTTTTGAACAGATTTAACATATGAACACATATAGTACATACATTTATCAATAGGTTTATCAAATTACAGTTCTATCATAATTTATATCTTTTATTGCACGAAGTAAAAGTTAGCATTCATGAGGATCATTGCAATTTGCTAAATTTGTGGTGTTGTTATGGTACTTGATAAGCAATGTTCCCGATCATGTTTAATTGTAAAATGATTTCTACCACAAAAACCAACAACCAAACATACTGTACTACACGTTCATAAGAATGGTACTATAGTGACGCATACATCTATAGAATAGTACTGGTGAGCGGTTTACATAGTGACGGATGATGCTATGTTGAATGTTCTTGACAAAGATGAAACATTTGATATAGAAAAGTTTCTCAGTTGTCCAGTATGTTACATCAAATAAATGATTTTAAACCCAACATATGTTGTGTTAACATCGTACCTTAAGTATCTGCTATGACTTCACAATATAATATAATCGAGTCACACACCAAAAACTAGATTAAAAAGCAAAATCGTAATTCTAGCTGAATATCGATGAAACTGCTATAGAGAAACATATGAACAAAGGAAAGATTTACCCAGATACATTTGAAAATGTATCGGAGAATAGTTACATAAAAAAACAAATCAAAATACATATGAAGAAAACTGGACTTCAAAGACGTCAGGAAAAGACAACAACATCAAGCGAGACACCAAAACTGACCAATCGCTTGACTGATAACTGTCCTTTAAAGATTACAGAGGAGCGACAACCGACCTTGAAACCAATCTATTTACTGTTATTCTACAGCGGGATTCGTTTGATGTACATCAACAGATCAAACACGTCTTCTTGTCTCTTCCACAAGGTGATGCACACTGAGGCTTCGATTTTGTCATGACATGTTCCAGGGGTACAGTGAACGTAAGTGGTGGGCGTTACCCCTGACTATCGAGGATGGATTCCCATTAAACCTGAATAACTGATAAAAAATATAATAAAGATTGAAATGAATAAATCAATCATACACCTAAATAGAGACACTAAATCTACCGACCTCACAGACATATAAAACAAACATAGGCGAAATCATTTACTATCGCATAAGACATTATTTATCTGTCATATTTTCTCACATCTAATCAAAGATTTTTTTGTGGTATCAAAATATGCTCAAGTTTTTGGGATGAGTCTATGTAAACATTTATCTATTAACTAAATATTTGTAATGTAATTTATTTTGTTTGATATGCAACACGTTTTACATTAAATTTGACAACTTCTTTTCAATTGTGGATAAGCACTCGACGTTATTCTCAAAAATATTACTTAAGCCAAAGATTCCTGTTTATAGTAAATGTTTCAGTAATATTAAATAGATATTTGGTTATGTTCTTTACTCTTGTTAAATGAAACTTGACTTTTCTTACACCTCTTTTTAAAGGCATCATTTAATTATTATATGGACAAGGACACTTGGATGTCAGTATTAAAATGAGGCCATCAGGATTGATCAATAGCCTTGTGTTCTACAGTTAAGTGTTCAATGGAATTTCTGTCTTACTATTTTAGTGGATACAGTTGAAGCGGTATTAAGAGAACAAATCAGATCTTGAAATAAAAATAAAAGAACAACCTCTCAGATACTCTAATTAACTCGTGCAGATGCCACTAACCAACCACAGCAAGCTAAAATGGGGACAAGGAATTAACCATGCAATGTCATAGTGGTATTGATTTTTTTATGAAAGTTCGTATTTTGTTTTGGGTTTCAGCTTTATTATCATGCAGCAATTTCCATATTTGTTTCAAAACTTATTAAAGGGTTAAACTTTATTTCTGCTTTCCCTGTAGTAACACTGTGACAGACACTTAGTCAGATAACAGGTGTAGCCACCTTAAAGACAGGACGTTTTCCAACATACCTTTTTGGTATCATGTTTCAGCTACGGCGTTACTTCCTTGTCAGAGTGTCCACTAACTGGGTTCTACTGAGTAGTATAGCAAAATAGGAAAGTTGTCTATACAAGTAAAGTATTGGGGTAGGGCAATGGAAAGTCTAAATTTCCAACCTGTTATACTATTGACAAAACGTCTCAATATTCCTGGTTTTGAAGATGTTCCACCTCTATGAGACTAATTGGTCACTCCTTCTTTCATACGGACTAGTTTTCTTAACGGATACACGTGTTTGATGTGCGTTTCCCATTACAAC